CTTGCGTTACGATTTTCATTCTCGTACTTGGCGAGCGCTGTAAAGGTTACAGAAAAAGTATTGTTAAAGGGAACGCATCAAAGAGACACAAAAAACCACGCCATCACGCGCATGGTGCGCTTCTTCTCGCGACCGGAGAACCCAGGAATTCCCTACTCTTATCATCTCCTGTTTATAATATTCCCACCAAAACTTCTACAAACATCTGCACGCACATGACCGTTTGCTCCCAGACGTGTCCTAACGCCTCATTTCACATGACCTAGAACGGCCGACCTAAAACACGTTTACTATTCTCCTATAACATCAATGCTAGCCACACAAGATGATTACCGACGCTCGTGCTCTAGCTAGACGTATTGACTAAACAATCTATAGTCTGAGCTCCACTGACTAATTTAGGTACAGTGCAAATAAACCACGTTACAAGGTCAAATAAAAGCCGCAGTGACTGTTGGTTTTTGTACGCCGACACACATTCTGCCCATAGATGTGTAAGTATACCAAGTTTGGTAGCGCTAGGTAAATTAGGGCGATCTATTAGAGCGGTAAGCGAAATACATGATCAAGAGGTCAATGTCAAGGTCAAACTAGAAAGTGGCAGTTGTCGCCAACTACATGTATCCCCCGTGTTTCTCCCCGAGATGTGTAGAGTATGACCAAGTTGGGAGGGCGCTAGGTCAATTAGGGCCAGTTAGAGACAGCAGAAGAAATATGTTAAGTCAAGTAAAGGTCAAATAATAGGTCGCAGTGACCTGGTTTTTGGTACGCTGCGCACTCTTCTCCCAAGATGCTGTAAGGTATTACCAAGTTTGGTGGGGCTAAACACTTAGGTCATTGCGGCGAGTTAGAGAGCGGAAGGCGAAACTATGATCAAGTCAAGCGTAAAGGGTAAAATATAGGTCGCAGTGACCTGGTTTTGGTTACGACTCTCACCTTCTCCAAGATGTGTAAGTATTACACATTGTGTCTATGCTAGGTCAATTAGGAGGTCGAGTTATAAGCGGAAAGGAAATACGTGATCAAGGGTAAGGTAAAGGTCAACTAAGGTCGCGAGGTGACCTGGTGTTTTGCGTACTCCTGCCACCTTCTCCCAAGACTGTGTAGTATTACGAAGTTTGTCCGCAGGTCACAGTTAGAGGCCGAGTTAGAGAGTGGAGAGGGAAATCCTCTCTGTGGCGACGGCTGCGGCGGCGACTGGACAGACATGAAACGATAGTATCCCCGCCGACTTCGTCGCGGTGGATACAACTAAGACAGAATCTATTTCAAACCAGCGGACGCAAAGATATTCCACCAGGGAGACTGGGTATTTCAGAGGAGAAATGAAGCAAGTGCTACACGTAAGAATTATTGTATGAAACGTCCTGAAATACCCTACGATGGTTCAAATTCAGTCGAACAGGAAAAAATCATATCTGTTTAAGGGACCTTGCCATTGGCTAATTCATTGAAAATGTTGAAAACCTCTGACCTCAATCATACAGGTGCTTATCTTGTATTTGTCTTAGACAGCCAGCTCATACATAGGTTCTTGGTTGAATAAATAACACATGCTAATGGTATCTAGTACTATCTACTAATCAAATAGTTAAAAAATGTAGTCCATGAAGAATACTGTTGTGCGCATATGTGAGAGTGCATACATGTATGGAGGGGAGTTGGTAAATATAGAGTTACAGGATAAGGTTTCGAGATCCACTCGACTACTATCTATCGTAATTTACCTTGCCAAAATTACTATGGTACATGACCTCCCCCTTTGCACTATTATTTATATTATATCAGGAGCGTATAATGACAAATGACAAATGAGCATATTTGTCATTATACGCTCCTGATTATATGCAAGTATTTTAAAACAGGTCTGCTGTATTAGTATGAATTGGTTTAGTACAACAACTAGCTGTACCAAAAGCATTGCTATCACGATTATTGTTGTAGAATTATAAACAAAATTAAAACCTCTTGATCATAAAATTCACCCTACCCATTATTTGACCACACTTTTCAGTGAGCTGTGGTGTTTTTAAAAACACGAGTTCTTCAAGTAATAAAGTCTACAAGCTACTCTACTACCAGCACTGATGCACACAGCCCAAAAATTCATTAGATCAACAGTGAATCACCACACTTTTAAGTGGACTGTGGTGTTCAAACATGAGTTTGTCAAATAATAAAGTCTACAAGCTACTCTACTACCATCACTCATGCACACATCCCAAAAATTCATTGGATCAACAGTGAATCGCCCACCTTTTAAGTGGACTGTGGTGTTCAAAACATTGAGTTTGTCAAATAATAAAGTCTACAAGCTACTCTACTACCATCACTCATGCACACATCCCAAAAATTCATTGGATCAACAGTGAAAAACCACACTTTTAAGTGGACTGTGGTGTTCAAACATGAGTTTGTCAAATAATAAAGTCTACAAGCTACTCTACTACCACAACTGATGCACACAGCCCAAAAATTCATTAGATCAACAGTGAATCGCCACACTTTTAAGTGGACTGTGGTGTTCAAACATGAGTTAGTCAAATAATAAAGTCTACAAGCTACTCTACGTACCATCACTAATGCACACGCCCAAATTCATTAAGATCAACAGTGAATCACCACACTTTTAAGTGGACTGTGGTGTTCAAACATGAGTTTGCAAATAATAAAGTCTACAAGCTACTCTACTACCATCACTCATGCACACATCCCAAAAATTCATTGGATCAACAGTGAATCGCCACACTTTTAAGTGGACTGTGGTGTTCAAACATGAGTTTGTCAAATAATAAAGTCTACAAGCTACTCTACTACCACAACTGATGCACACAGCCCAAAATTCATTAGATCAACAGTGATCGCCACACTTTTAAGTGGACTGTGGTGTTCAAACATGAGTTTGTCAAATAATAAAGTCTACAAGCTACTCTACTACCATCACTAATGCACACAGCCCAAAAATTCATTGGATCAACAGTGAATCACGTTATGCATAAACATTGTAATTCAAGGTGCACAAGATAATGTGTAACTGTAAGACGAGAGAGTTACTACAGGATGAAATTCAACAATTAAGTAGTCTAACAGAACAAAAAATATTTTAACTACACAATTTGTAAGCTGCTAAGTTACACAGAATTAGACTATTTTCCGCATATTTCGTCAACTATTGCACCGCACAGAATCCCCTCATTCATTTTCACTAACATCTGCGCAGATGAAATCACTCTATCAGTAGAAACACAAACATAGACGAAAAAATTAATGGTCTGCTTCAGTGTTTACTCTGACACGTCTAAACACCAAGTGTATATATATATCAACATCACTGTGGGGCAGAACATTTTGGGGCTGTCCTACATTTCACATCCATTTACCATTTGCTTTTGTTCCCATATATGTCCACAACATGAATACATACACTAACACATCCTAACAGCAGGCAGCAAAACGTACCAGATGTACCAGGATGAATAGAATATATTCACAGCATAGATCCTCCCCACAACAGTACTGTCCTGGACCACATCTAAAAAGCCAAATGTAACATGTTACATCGCGTGTCATTGCCATGCAATTTTTATACACCAAAATTTCCATATTCTCTCTCGTAACTCTCTTAGAATTAACCGTTTTAACAGAAATTCAATATAAGTTACAGCAAAGATTACATCTGTGACTAGTAAAGTCTAAAGTCTAGAGATCTGACAAGTCTAAAGACAATAATCACAATTTATTAGTCATAAACATACGGACATACATAAACTGTTAAAACATATATATATATATATTATTAACAATAACATACTTACTACCTCACTGCTACTATACTGGAAAGCTCTTATTATTGCTTATAAACAATTAAAGGCATAATAGGCCCATCGATTATGCAATTTTAACGAATGCTAGAGTAACTGGCACCTTGTGTAGTTAATAAGTACATTACCTTATAGCCACACGCGTATTAGTTTGTCCAATATCACTGCTGGTTACTAAGAAATATCTAATTGAAATCTGCAGTCCAAGAAATCAGTTGACTGACTTGTTTACAGTTTCGAAACCGCATACTGCGAAACGGGTGTGATACAGATTTATAGTTGCACGCGGACATTTTCGCACGCATGCAAAACGCACGCACGCATGCATTTTCGCTCGGCCGTACGCAATGCTAGCGATAGTACAGTACCGTAACTGTATACATAACAGTAGCTCTGATTGTGATGAACGTGGAATCCATCCAGCTAGAGATACATTCTACTAGCTCATTAGTCGTATATAAGCATCCCGGGACAAACAATTCTCTGCTAAACACCCGTAGCAACATGTGACGTTACCTAACGAATTCGAGGCTATTTTGCTTGGCAACCAATTTAGCGTTTGGCGCCAGATTACCAGATTTACGGATTTCAATTAGACAATTTCTTAGTTAATTAGCCAGTGATATTGGACAAACTAATACGCGTTTGGCTATAAGGTAATGTACTTATTAACTACAGAAGGTGCAGTTTACCTGTAGCATTCGTCAACTTTGCATTTTGCATAATCAATGGGCCTATTATGCCTTTAAATATTACAATTATCAAAGTTGTACATAGACAAACATAATTATATTCAGAATTTTACAGTACACAAAAAATACTTACAAATCCCATCCACAGTAGTAAGCAGCTACCTGAAATATCAAGAACTGGAATTAAAACCTTTTATTATGTAAGATTACAACTGAGTATTGTTACAAATGTATGCATATAAAGTAATGTAATCATGATAACATACATCATTTTAACTTCGATGTAGTTTATGTGCTCTTGTCTGAACAGAATACTTGCCATATGACCAGCCTAAGTGATAGGTTCAAACTAGTTCTAAAAAGCTGGAACTCTCTTATACCAAGAATTATATATATATATATATATATATATACACATTAAGGTATATTCTTCTTAAATTATCATTTCAAGTTAACAAAGAGATGTGTATGTATCTGACTATCAGTTGACCCTAGCAGTTTTCTTATATTATCTGGAAAAAATTATTACACCCTCCCACAATGGGATTCTGTAAAACCATCTTGTCACTTATTTGTTCATATTTAAGCTAATGGTGGACGTTAGACTGGATATTGGCTCCTCTCGGAGAAAAAATGGGGGTTGCTTATTCTATAACATACCATGTTTTGGTGGCCATAAAATTGCCTACCTACCCTAAAAATACAACGTTTTACCACAAAGTAAGATCTTCGCCTACCTACCTATATCGGACAGATAAAGGAAAACAAATTTTTTGTGTGGAATGTACTATCATTTACAATAGCGGAGAACCCCAACATTCTCATATTTTCCTACCCATTCCGTTCCTTCTCCCTGACCTTCCTGATAATTACCGGTACTTATTGCATATCACCAAGTGTGTACAGTAAGGATAACATGTCGTAGAACAATCGTACATAGTAATATCCTCAAATATATGCAATGATTCCATTTTTTACTAAACCTTGTATTCAGGGTTACATAACCATCAACGTCCATCTTGGTATCTATGCATAGCCGAGCATTTACTTATCTGAATTATCACCTTTGTGCTTGAGCAGAATCAAATTTTTTCAAGGAAAATTTGCTCTGAGTGGCAATGTATTACGTAAATTGCAATGTAATAAACGACCACTGTGCCTGTGTCACCAACAACAACACGCAGTCTATCTTATTTATTATTTTGTTTCCAATCTCATTGATTTAGACTATTTCATTTCATACATTATTATATTATTATTATTATTACTAGTGGTAATAGTACGTAGTAGTTACATTAAATGTAACTAGTATAGTACATCACTGTCGCTGGTAATTAGTAAACACTGACAGTAAAGGCCAAGACACACTGCAGCGACAGCGACCGACCGTAACGACAAATTGCACAAGATAATGTGTAACTGTAAGACGAGAGAGTTACTACAGGATGAAATTCAACAATTAAGTAGTCTAACAGAACAAAAAATATTTTAACTACACAATTTGTAAGCTGCTAAGTTACACAGAATTAGACTATTTTCCGCATATTTCGTCAACTATTGCACCGCACAGAATCCCCTCATTCATTTTCACTAACATCTGCGCAGATGAAATCACTCTCTATCAGTAGAAACACAAACATAGACGAAAAAATTAATGGTCTGCTTCAGTGTTTACTCTGACACGTCTAAACACCAAGTGTATATATATATCAACATCACTGTGGGCAGAAGCATTTGGGGCTGTCCTACATTTCACATCCATTACCATTTGCTTTGTTCCCATATATGTCCACAACATGAATACATACACTAACACATCTAACAGCAGGAGCAAAACGTACCAGATGTACCAGGATGAATAGATATATTCACAGCATAGATCCTCCCCACAACAGTACTGTCCTGGACCACATCTAAAAAGCAAATGTAACATGTTACATCGCGTGTCATTTGCCATGCAATATTTATAACACAAAATTTCCATATTCCTCTGTAACTCTCTTAGAATTAACCGTTTTAACAGAAATTCAATATAAGTTACAGCAAAGATTACATCTGTGACTAGTAAAGTCTAAAGTCTAGAGATCTGACAAGTCTAAAGACAATAATCACAATTTATTAGTCATAAACATACGGACATACATAAACTGTTAAAACATATATATATATTAACAATAACATACTTACTACCTCACTGCTACTATACTGGAAAGCTCGTATTATTCTTATAAACAATTAAAGGTATAATAGGCCCATCGATTATGCAATTTTAACGAATGCTAGAGTAACTGGCACCTTGTGTAGTTAATAAGTACATTACCTTATAGCCAAACGCGTATTAGTTTGTCCAATATCACTGCTGGTTAGTGATGGGAATCGGCTGGAATTTCATAATCGATTATCGGTTTCCCT